CGGCCGAGGCGAAATTGTGGCGAAGTCGAGCGATTGTGCAAAGTCGAGAGCGCGGCGGCACGTCGGAAGCGGCCGAGAGCCAACGCGCGGGTTGCGTCCGAGAAAGGAAGTTGCTTGTGCGGGCTCACCATCCCACAGTTTCTTGCCAACGAAGTCCGGAGTGGCACCGGACCGGGGCCACTTGGCTCTCCACTTCAGACCCTAAATATCCAAAACTCCGGGAGGATTCGGCCATTCAAGTACATAAATATCCAAATTTTCGGGAGGAAAATGGCAAATTTCAGGCCTCAAATATCCAAAATTTTCGGGAGACCCTTGGTGAAGCGTCCCGGGGCCTGCTCTCACGCGTCGCGTTACGGTCACCCCAGCGTTTCTTCCTCTTCTGCCTTCCTCCTCGCTTTCCTCCCTGTTCCCTGCTCGCTACTTAACCCTTCTTTCATCTCTCCTCTATTTTTCATACCGGTATCGATCCTGTATCAACGAGAGCAAACACCTGAATGTGCCAAAACACCCAGCCTTCACGAAGATGCGGAGCCCAATCATCTCTTAGGTCCATCTTCAAAACATCCTCTGCATAACCACTAACGCTTCCGAGTATCTACATTTCGATTCACTTATATGAGTTCTTGTGTTATGCCTACTTTTACCCGGTCCTCGAGACGCCTGGCAACCTCAACACACTTCGCCGGCCTTCAAAATAGTGGTACGAAAGGTGGTTCGTGCGATGTACGTGAGTAACCCTCATTTTTTCCATCAATTCAACCCATATTGACCCACCCTGGTGATGTTTGTGTAAGTATCTGAGTCCTAACCGAGGGGCGGGGCATCGATCTATACGCTAGGCAGCTTGACGTGCTCGTGGCGTGATACGTTGTCGGTGAGCCACGTTCTTTATCTGTTTGCCACATCTATGCCTCTTCCTTTCCTCCATGTGTCCCTTCACCTCTTTTCAGCCGGTCATTGTCATCGAACGCTCTTGGCGATGGTGGTAACGACTCACTCCGACCTCGTCTGGACTTTTTCTTTTCTTTTCTTTTTTCGCTATTTGCTTCTTCTGTCGCTCGTGGGCGTACTGAGGCACGCATACTGATTGTATCCCTTTCCTTAGCGTTCTTCTCACCCGCCTTGTGTGTTTTCGATCGGGCCCGTGTTCGGTGATGTTCAATATGTGTCCTGTGTAAGTAGCACTCCCGTTGGATCAGTGAGGCGCGCAGCTCCGTATGTCAACGTTTCGGTACGCCTCCTGCTTCTCCCTTCCACCTTGGTTTCCACCTCGACCGTTTTATTTGTGCTGCGTAATCCTTCATCCATTGCATGCACGACTACAGCTCAGAGCTTTGACCTTTCAACACCGGAAAATGACATAGATCCAAGGCAATTCATAACAAGGAGACCGCTGTCTGTGGAGCTGAGTGAGTTTCGGAGGACTCAGGGTTCTGTGCGGGCTAGGTATTGCATGTTCTCAAATATGTGGCTGTCAGGCAGAAGTCGGGATTCTGTTCGTTCAATGATACAGTATGACGTTCCTTTGTGATGTGCTGGTCTCGCCTTATGTACATACATAGCATGTAGTTTATTTCAGCAATAAACAATTTTTACCAGCCAAATCAGTCAATAAGAATGAAGGCTAGTGTGCTCTATCCAATGCTTAGCGAGAGAAACGAAGGGATCTATCGCGCTCTATCGTGCTCTATTTTGTGCCTCCCAGAAGGCAGGTCTAAGAAGAATAGACGAAAATAGTTACTGTCAAATGATCTATTCTGTCTACCGGGAGACCGAATAGACCCAAATAGTTAGGTTTAGCCGAATGCGGTCTTGCTGATGTCTACTCCCTCGGACCATCATACCATAAGGCTATCTTGCACACTCATATTAAGTATCTTGGCTGCCTTGAGCAGTGCAACCTTCTCTATGCGTACCACGCCACACAAATACACATATAGGCATATTGGTGGCCACGCCCCCCAAACTTATACCTAACTCTAAAATATACGCCACTACTAATGGAACGCGTAGTAAGGAACGCGTAGTAAGGAACGCGATGCCAGGCGTCTTTGCGCACCCCACTCTTCTCGAACCGTCCAACCAGAGAGATGTCCACAGAACATGGGGAGCAGACTCGAGCCCAGATATCAGTCCCAGGTTTTGACGAAGAAGTAATCGCTGCAGCGACGAAAGACCTGTGGTCCTTTGAGCGGTCGTTTGCTCTCGCGTCACCGACTTACGCCAAACTTCTTTGCACCAAAGTTATCTGGAGTCGAGACGAGAACATCATAGCTTACAACTCGGCCATTTCTCAGGGTCCCGCCTCCCCCATTTCACCCTCATCCTCCCCAACTTCTCCTACCTCTCCCACCACCACTATCTCCGGCACCTCCATCGCTAAAGCCACCCAACACCTCCAAGCCTTCACCAAAGTCTTCGGCGAGCTAAACAATCAATTGCCCAGCCGCCCTTTTGGGCCCAACAAGATCCGTACATTCCTTGACTTGGGTTCTTCGCCAGGTGGTTTCTCGTCTGCCGTCATCAGGCATAATGCACGGACTCTGGTGGGTGGTGTGGGGGTCACTCTGCCACCTGAGAAGGTCACTGAAGTTCACTAACTCCTTGATATATCAAGGAAGGCGTAGTATACTTAGCCATTGAAACCAGAGGGTTCAGTAAAGTGACTCGTCTCAGTACTTTAAAGTACTGAGGCTTCTGGGGCACTATGGTATAGTACTGTGCTAGTAAAAGTGCGCAATGCTGGTTTGTGGGTATAGTACTTTTGCTCGTTGTAGTACTTTCTGCTGGTATAGTACTTTTCGCTTGTTTAGTACTTT